GACGGTGCTCCTGGAGGTGGGACGCCCTCCCGGCTCCACACCCTCACCCCTCCCGCTGCTCCTGGGGACTCGTGACCGGGAAGGGGACAGACCAGGCCGCTCATGTGTTCCTGTTGGGCACCGTCCACAGATCTCGGGATCCTCCTTGGCATGGCCCTGGGGAACCAGGGTTTGGAGGTGTGGCCCTTGACCCCGAGCGAGGAGTGCGCCATCACTGGCTTTCTGCGGGACAAGCTGCAGTACAGGAACCGCCTTCAGTACATGGTAACCCTGTGGTGCCTGCAGACCCCCATCCCAAGCCCCTTAGCTCATGGGGGGTAGGGATCTGGACATTCAGGGTCTCTCCTTGGACCTGTGTCAGCCCTGAGCCTCCAAGGCTCCTTTTCTCTACCCCGCACCCACCCCCTCCCCCAATGGCCCAGTTACCTGGCTGCACCGCTCTTCCCTCTCCCTCCCGCCAGCCATCCCTGGGGGCCTCCACCCCTCCTACTAGGTCTGACCTTTGGTCTCACCTCCACGTGGCACTTACCCCGTGATTCAGGAATGGACTCCAGGAAACCTTGGGGAACCCCAGACACTTATTATTAGCAGGGGAGATAAGGGCCTAGAAATTGGGACACAGGTGGAGAAGCCCACATGGCACTTGTTTTAAAAACAGCTTTATTGAGATATGATTCATGTACCACATAATTCACACATTTAAGTGTACTCAGGGGTGTTTGGTACACTTGCAGAGTTGTGCAGCCATCACCATAATAAGTTTTCAAGTACTCGTTTAGTTTTCTGCACCCCAGGGAGTCTATTTCTCTTGGGTGGCGTGTCCCTATACTATTTCTTGGCTGAAACTTCTGCCTTAGCAGCATCTAGGTGTTTTGTTTCATCCCTCCCCATGTCCCAGAGGAAAGACAGCTGTCCTATCCTGATGGGGAGCCAAGTGCATTCTCCCTAGAGGGCCACGTCTGCCATCATAGGGCTGCTCCTGGGTTCCCTCCTCCTACAGCAAAGTGTCTGGGGAGTGGGGCGGTTTGCAGGAACCTGTCTGAGCCATTTCTGACTCTGATCTCATGTTTGTTTTGTTTTGTTTTTACCTCCCCAGAAACACTACTTCCCCATCAACTACAGGGTCAGCATGCCTTATGAGGGGGTGCTCAGAGTGGCCAACGTCACAAGGCTGGTGAGAATCCCCTTCCTGTCTCCTGGGATATACTGGGGGCCTCTCCTGAGAGTCATGTTGGTGTGGCAGGTCCTGTTACCAGTGGCCTTTCCTGGCCCCTCAAGTAAGCTCACCCTTGGCCCAGGTCCAGGGTTGTCCGAAGTCCACAGTGGGCACCTGTGGTTGGCTCCTTATGCAGGGGCAAGTTGGGAGGGTGGTCAGAGCGGTGTGGGGAGGGCCCAGAAGCCCGTGTGTGGCGGTTTCAATGATTTCTTCTGTCCCCACAGCAGAGGGCCCGGGTGAGCCAGCAGGAGCTGCGGTATCTGTGGGTCTGGGTAAGTCTCAGTGCCACCGAGGCCGTGCAGCAGGTGCTGCTCGAAGGCCACCCATCCTGGAGGTACCTGGAGGACATACACACTCTGCTGGTGAATGTGCAGCAAGTCCTCAGGGTGAGCTGGGCAGAGGTGTGGGCGGGCAGTGTGTGTGTGTGTGGTAGCCAAGGGCTGTCGGGGGAGGTTGTGGACACCTGCAAAGTTCCAGCATGTCCTAACAAGTGTGGGAGAAATGAGAGAGAGGAGGAGACGGCCAGTGGTGGGCTGGGCTTGGGGGCAGGAGGTGTGCCCGAGACCCTGTTCTGGGCTGTCTTGCTCTGGGATCTTGGGTAAGTCATTGAACCCCGTGGCTTTGTTTTCTATGCCTGGGAAACAAAGTTCCTTGTGGGGAGAGAGGAGGAGGTGTGGATAGGTGGAGCACAGGAGTTGTTTAGGGTGATGAAACGGTCTGTATGAGACTGTAAAAGTGGATATGTGACATTATGCATTTGTCAAAGCCCATAGAACTGTACAACACAGAGAGTGAGCCTTAATGTAAACTATGGACTTCAATTAATAATAATAATAATAATAATAATATAATAAAGAGGTTCCTGGTAACTGCCTTCTCAGCAAGGTTGACCTGAGGCCTCTGGGTATGTCCCTGGAAAAGCCTGAAGAGTAAGGCAGCTGGATGAGCGTGCCCATACAGGCCATGTGGGACCCTCCCACACCCCCCATGCTCCCTACCCACCCCAGCCCTCCTCAGGACCCTGGTACCTACCTGCCCCAGGGACCCCCACCTGCTCCCTAGTGAGAACACCCAACAGCCACTGTGAGCTGCTGCCCAGGTTAGGGGCCAGCGACTGCTTTTGCAGCGGCCTCAAATTTGGGGGAGTTCTTGAAATTCTTGCAGAGGCCGGGAGCCCCAGCCATGTCGTCAGCAGCTTTTTGGTGCCCCTGGGCATGGTAGTCATTTTTCTAATGATGGGAAAAGAGAAGCCTCTGTATTGTGCTTGGGTGAGGGACAGGGAAGGGTACCCCTACTCCCCTCCCCTGGGAAACTTGGCACCTGGGAGAAGGGAATTGCTCATAGGCCTCCTGGTCATGGGAAGTCTTGTCTGTCTTCTGTGTTTTGCACGGCTCCAGATGTGACAGCCCTCACAGCTGTCCTGGCATGTGGCCCTGGCTCTGCACTGGCCCCAGGTGCTAACAGTTTCCTCCCTTCCAGGGTGTGGAGGTCAGCCCCAAGGTGGAAGCCGTGCTGTCTCTCCTGAGTGCCCCAGGGCTGAGCCTGAAGCTGGTACGGCCCAAAGCCCTGCTGGATAACTGCTTCCGAGTCATGGAGCTGCTCTACTGCTCTTGCTGTAAGGAGCCCTGAGTGGGGGGGCTGGGGCAGGGGCTGGGTGTCTGAGTCCGGTGGCAGAGCTGGCACTCTCCTGGCATTCCCTCCGCTCCCCAGGGAGACAGGCCATTTCTGGAAGCTGAGGTGGGCCCTGGGTGTGGGAACAAGAACAGTAGGGCTTGGTCTGGAACAAGGTGGGTGTTGACCACCCTCACAGTTTTTTCTCTCTACCCTGCAGGTAAACAGAGCTCCGTCCTAAATTGGCAGGACTGTGAGGTGCCCAGCCCTCAGCCCCACAGCCCAGAGCCCTTGTCGCAGTGTGTGGCCGCCTAACTGTGCCCTCCGCCCCAGCAGCCCCCACCTCCCTGCCTCACTCCCTAGGATCTAAGGCTGGACCCCGGCTCATTGAAACTACTGAGGGCAGAGGCCCTTTGCCCCAAGCAGCCTGTACGGGGACTGGTGTGGGGCAGATGGAGGAGCTCCCACAGTTCCCGGGCCTGAGATGTTGCTGGGTGGTGGTGGGAGCCCCTCTTGGGAGAACCCCAGGAAGGGGTTTTTTTCCTTTCAGGGGGCTCCTGTGCCTGGGAAGGCTCAGCTTCCCACCCTCAGTACCTCACGAGGTCTCCCCTGGAGTGGTGGGGGCCTGAGGACACCTGGAGGTGAATAAGACAGAGCTCGTGGCCCCTCCTGGCAGTGCCCAGGCTGCGTCCCTTGCCTGAAGGGAGCAGAGGCCAGAGCTGTGCTGGGTGGGCAGGTGGGTGTAGAGGTGACAGGACTCAGCCAGGCTGGGGACAGGGCAGAGTGAAATGCAGTATCTTGCCACCGTGGGTGTTCTTCTGGTTTCTTTTTTCTATTAAACACCCACTTTATTTTGTTTTGGTTTGTGTTGCTTTGTATCTGCAAGTGTGAATCTGGAGGGGCTGGGAGTCCCGTGCCACCCCCTCCAGCGTGAGGGAGAAGGGACCGGTTGGCTGGCGGGCCCTGGGCCTGGGCCTGAGGGTTCTGACTTGGAATGGACAGAGCCTGGCCAGGGGGCAGGAATGGTGGGCATCCCTGCCCTAGGGGGGCCCACCCCCCCGGGGCCTCCTGGTCTCCCTCCCTCCCTCCATCTGGCTACCCCAAGATAGCCCCCGGCAGGGATGGAGCTGAAGCCTTCAAAGGCGTAGGTCCTGGCACAAGACCCGGACACTCCTGCCCCCGCTACATGGAGCCCTGGGCCCCAAGGCGCCCAACCCCAAGGCTGGGATCCAGGTAGGAAAGGGCCGGGTGCGGGGTGCTGTAGGCAGGCGAGCAGCGGGGCAGGAAGCCAGGCGGAGGCAGGGGTGTTAATTAGAGTACAACTTTATTAATACTGGGATCTTCACAGTGCATTTGTTACTTGTAGCAGTGACTATTTAAATCAAGGGCAGGGTGGGCTGGAGGGGGAGGAGCGGAGAGGATAATTTATCCAAAAACCGACAGAAAAGAAACAAAATGGTTCAGATGGGATGGGGGGATGTGGTGGGGTGAAGGGAAGAAAAAGGGTGATGGGAACCAGGAGGGGAGCCCTGGGGTGGGGAAATAAATTAAAAGAAGGAACAAGTTAACAACAGCACCAGAAAAGTTACTTCAGTCAAAAGACTTTGAAAAGAATGTCTGTACAAAATGGAAAATAAAACAATTGTAAAGAAGTCCCCCAACCCAAGTCTGATGCGGGATGCTTGGCTCGGCTCCCAGGGATGGTCACTAAATGTATGAGAGGTGGTCAAGGGGATGAGTTATGTACAGCCCCGGGGTGGCTGGGAGGGGAAGGGGGACGAGCAAGGTGGGGGGCACACCCTCCCTGAACCTCCAAAGCCACCCCCTCCCTAGGAGGCTGGGACCCAAGGACCCAGCCACAACCCCACTGCTCCGTACCCTGCTCACGTCACACATCCTGCATCCTACTCCTGGGCGAAGCCTGACACAGCCCGGGGGGAACTGGGGGTGTAGACCCCACCCCAGGGCTGCCCAAACTGGCCACCAGCTCTCCAGCTCCTTCAGGCCCTCCTTTGCCCAGGCCCCCTCCAGGTGCCCAAACCTGGGCTCTGGGGTTGGCCGGAGCACTCAGCATGGTTGTTCTCAGACCTAGCGACTTACAGGTACCGTTCTTCATCACCCTGGGGGAGCCGGGGGCTCCATCCACTCAGGGGCACACTTGGTCCCCCAGCCCCACCTGGATCCCAGCTCCGGCACAAGAACTACCAAGACCTCCAGCTGGGAGACTCCAATCAACCCCATCCTGTCCAGACGAGGTAAAGCCTGTTCTGACCCCAGGAGGCCCCTGCCCTGTGGCCCTGCCACCCTTTGAGCCCAGCTCTCTCCTGGCCTGTGGGACCTCAGGAAGCCCTCCTCTCTGGAGGCGCACCTTTTATCTGCTTAGAGTTGGCACAACTTGGTGCATGGAGGAAAGGGCACACCCCCAGCCCACCCCACCCCTCACTGCCAGAACTTTGGGGTGGGGGTGCATCCTGGGATGGCGTCTCCTCTGAGAACAGAGAATGAAAACCAATCTTCCTGGACTTGCCCTCAGCTAGGCCTGGCCATAGGACACCCCACCCCCTGACAGGTTGGTAGCCCTTAATTTGGCTCCAGAGGCTGGAGAGAACTGCTGTCCCCTGGCTTTTGGGGAACCAATCAACCCTCCTCCTGCCATGGGCCCACAAAACCACTGTGGGGCCCCCTGTCCCTCAGGCACTCTCAGACACACCCTGTATCGCCTACCCTGTCCCCACACACAGCCCTTGTCCAGTCATAAAATCAACTCCCACATTCCCTCTGTTGTTCCAGCCCCACACCCAAGGGTGGCCAAAACTGTGAGCAAAATGCCATCTGAATTAGTCTTGACATGCCCAAACGAGGACTGGACATCTGAAAGTAGGTCCTTGGGGGCTGGGCCTATGACCCCAAGGCCTCTGACCCCTTCCCTACTGCCCCAACCAACCCCCAATCCCAGCCATACCTCCTAGGAGATGAGAAGCCAGGACACGGGAAGCTGCCTCAGGATCCCCAGCCTCCTCCAGGCAGGCTCCCTGTGTTTTTCCCCCGAGACTTGACTTGGGCCCTAGGCCCTTCCCCCATGGTGGGCCAGCCTCCCAAATTCACCTGCCCCCATGACCACCATCCGCTCGGCACACTCTTCAGTCAAATCCGCTACCTTAGCTGACTGGGCACCTGGGCCCCCCACAGCCGCCCTGCCTCCCTGATGGAGAGGAGCATGGGAGAGGCGGAGAAGTGGGGGAAGGAGAAGGGCTCAGTCTGGAAAGGCCTGAGGCACCCCGACCCTGGGGAGAAGCCCGCCCTGCCGGGTTAGCCAGGCTGGGGCACTGCCCGCTCAGGCCAGGGGGCTGGCCGGCCCCTCCACCGTGGGCAGGGGAGTGGTGCAGGGCTCGCTGAGATATGGGACAGGCAGGGCCTGCAGGGAGGAAGAGGAGGGACAGAGGAGGAAAGGAGAGTATAAAACAGGCTCCTAATCCAGTTCAAGGCCTGCAGGCTCCATCGAGGCGAGGTCTGTTAAAGAAGTCACTTTCCGTTTAAATGTCGAACTCCAGGCTGGGTGTCTCTTTCCATAAAGTGGCTTTGCCTCATAGGACTTAAAAAAAAAAAAAAAAAAAAGCTTGCCTGGCTCTGCTCTCTCCTGGCTGTGCCTTTGCTCTGAGCGATGGCTGCTCAACAGCCAGGCCACCTGCCTCGCGCTTGGCCAGAGGGTGGAAGGGCGGTGCCATCACAAGATGCGGGGCGCTGACCTGTCGTTGGTGACGGTCCTGCGGAGCCGCACCCCGCGCCGGATGGCCACCAGCATGTCTTCGGCTGGGGGGTCGCTGGTGGCTGCTGGGGGCGGGGTGGGTGTCTCCTTGGTGGGGGCGGCCGACAGGGCGGTGGGGAAGGGGAACTGGCCCTCGCCCAGGGCGTGGGCGCCCGCCACCAGCTCGCCGAGCTTCTCCACCAGGCTGTGCCGGTTGGCGGCCAGCTGCTGCTGCTCCTCGTCTTGAGCCCCCGGCCCAGGGTAGCTGGCAGGCTCGGGGCCCGGGCTGGCCCAGGCTGTGTTGGGCAGGCTCAGCCTCTTCGGGGAGGCCTTCACCAGGTCCGGCACCAGGGGCGAGGCGGCCTCGTCGCTGTAGAAGACGCATTCCTCACTGCCTGCCCGCGTGGGCCCCACGTAGCTGGGGGAGTCGGGCACCGTGGGTGTCTTCACGGGGACGATGGGCGGCCGGATGGGGATGGGGCCAGCGCTGGAGAGGGCGCGGCGCACGGTGGGCTTGGTGGAGGGTGTTCTGCGGATGGTGGCCACGCCAGGGGGTGCGCCCGAGCCGGTGGCCAGCCCAGCGGTGGGCAGCCCGGCAGTGGAGGCTGGGCGCTTGGTCTGGATTAGGCGGCGGTAGTTCTGGGCGATGTTGCTGTTGCGAGGGATGGTGGATGACTTGTCGAACTCGGGTGGGCCCTCGCCGTCAGCATCCCCATTCACCGAATAGCAGTCGTAGTCGGAGCCTGGGGGCATGGGATGCAGTGGGCCAGGGCCAGGGGACTGCCGGCCCAGGAACCCGCCCCAGCCCCGGGGCCTACCTTGGGAGGGGATGGTGTCCTCTGAGCAGGAGGGCGTGGTGGTCTGTGTGCTGTAGCCGCTAGAGTACTGCAGCGAGTCCCGGCTGCTCTTCTGGTGCTCCAGGCTCAGGCCGCGTGTCAGCACCATGGCCAGATCACTGGCTGCTGGGGACACCTCCTCACCGTGCTGGGATGGTAAGACTGCAGGCTGAAGCCTTGCTCCCCAGCTTCCCCCCTCAGCCTGCACTCCAGGGAGCTCCCACCAGGGGCAGAGCGGGCACTGAGACCAAGCGCCCAGCCTCCTGGCACTGACCTGGGAGTGAAGGTGGGGCCCTGGCTGGGATGCCAAGGGAGCTGCCGCCTACCTTAGCTGCAATTGTGGCAGGGGACATGCGGGGTCGTGGAGCTTCCTCTCCACTGGGGCCCAGGGTGCCCCCGCTGGCTGTGCCTGGCTCTGTCTCTCGGAGGAGCTCCACTCTGTCCTTCCTCCGCTGGAGGGTGGAGGGCTGCTCGTGGGGGCCGGCCTTGGCCCAGTCCTGCAGGGTATGGCAGGTGGGTCAGGGGACCTTCTGCCTTGCTGTCCAGGACCGAGGGGCCCCTCGCTGTAGTTGAAGGTCAGGGTTTCTGGTCCATGTGGGGCCTCAGGCTCACAATCATGGTCAAGGACAAAGTATGGAGGGTGCTTGGACCCCTCCGTCCCGCCAGGCGTAGGGGCAGGATAGCAGATCCCAGAAGGGAAAGACATGAGTGTGTGGGGAGTGGCTGCAGTGGTGCCCAGGGGGCTTTTTTTTCGGGGATCAGGCTGTGTGAACCACCTCTGGGTGGACCTGGGCCCTCCCTGAGTCCAGCTGCGGGTGGGGAGCACTGACCGAGGTGGGGGAGCTGCACTCGCTAACGGACTGGCAGGTTTCCGAGGCCTCAGAGGATGCAGAGCTGGAGGACTTCTGCCATGCAGAGGCAGGCGGGCAGGTGGACAGGGCAGGGAGGCCGGGGGGAGAGGAGAGAACAGACCTGGTCACAAGGTCGGCATGCAGCGGAAGGTCTGATAACAGCACCCACCCCGCGCCCCCCCAACCAGGGCCATGGCCGAGAGCGTCTGCAGCAGAACACAGCATCCAGAGCGCACACCACCAGCTCTGACCTACCCTATAGCCCAGCCCAAGAACCACACATTTTGAGAATGAATGACAGGGCTTGCAGCTGATGGCCTGGATGTGGTGGGCAAGGGAAAGAGAGATACAAAGGATGGCAGAGAGTGTCTGGCTTGAGCAGCTGTGTTGACAGTGTCACTGTTTTCTGAGAAGAGCAGGCCTGGGGGAGGTGTGGGGTCCAGGGTTCCCCCGACTCCTGTTAAGCTGAGCTGCCTATTAGGTATTGACACATGGATGTGACGTAGGTAGCTGTATTTACAAGTCTGGGGTTTGGGGAGAAGTCAGGGTTGGAGTCAGCAGCCGTAAGACAGAGTGAGGTCACCTGGAAGCGAGGTAGTTAGAGAAAGGGTTCAAGGCCCTCAGCCAGGCCAATTCAGTTAGAAAGAGGAAGGTCCAGCACAGGAGAGTGACAAGGAGCTGCTGGTAAAGGGGAGGGAACCACAGTAGGTGACATCGCAGAGATCGGTGGAAGAACCTGACGTGCGAAGGAGGGTCAGCTATGCTGTGGCCGCTGGGGGCCAGCAGATGAGGGCAGAGGGGCATCGTGGAGACCTTGAGAACTGTTTCAGGAGAATGGTGGGAGCAGAAGTCTGTCTGGGAGGCCCCCCAATACAAAACAACGAAAATTAAGAAAAAAAAAAAAGCAAGGGCAGAAACAGGACCCGAGGCTCCCCAGAGCAGATGCTGGCTTCACTAGAGTGGTCTGGAGATTAGGCAAGTGGCGCGGAGGGGGGCTCACTCTGGATGACCCAAATCAGGTCAGGCAACTGGAAAGGGGATCGATCAGTAGCACCCCCCAGCCCAAATCCTGTCAAATTCTCCAAATCATCCTTGAGTTATACCCCTGAATTTTTTTTACATTTTATGATGAACAAAGACCACCAAAGGAAAGGAAAAAGCACCAGAGAGTGAGGATTCAGAGGAAAGGAATAAATTTTAAAAATCGATGGAAAAAAGTATGTGGAGCCCGGCCGGAGAGGCTCAGGTGATCGAGTGTCATCCTGTGCACTGAAAGGTCGCTGGTTCGATTCCCCGTCAGGACGCACGCCTAGGTTGCAGTTCCCTTCCGAGGTGGGGAGGGCACAGAAGGCAACCGATCAATGTTTCTCTCCCCCTTCTTCTCTCTAAGCATGTGCTCAGGTGACGAGTAAAAAAAAAAGTATGTAGAAAACTCAATGGAAAAATTCAACACTTAGTCATGAAAAAAACCAAACCAAACCAACGACTACTTAAACTAGGAATAGAAAGGACCTTCTTTAATCCGCTAAAGACTAGCCATAAAAAACATCGATAGGCTGAAGCATCCTCTGGGTACACCAACGCTGTGGGTTTGATCCCCGGTCAGGGCACATACAAGAAGCAACCACTGAATGTGTAAGTGGAACGACAAATTGATGTTTCTGTCTCTCCCTCCACTCTCTAAAATCAATAATATACAAAAAAAATTGATACTTTTCTCTCTAAGGTTGGGAGTGAATGGTAAATGCGGTAGAGATGGGCAGTGTAGATAACTCTTTTTGAGAAGTTTTGCTGTGAAGGAGACTCCATGGCTGGAGGTGAATGGGGGGGCAGGGGGAGAAAGGGAGGCCTTTAAGATGATAATGAAGCTTGCACTAGGAGAGTGTCAGTGCCATGGGGACATCCTTGGGCAAGAGAGCAGAATGTGAATGCTGCGCCCAAATGGAAGCCCAGTCATAATGGTCACTCCCGTTCCCCTGCAGATGCCCTGGGCATGTGGCCCACTGCCCACTTGCAGCTCCTATGGCCAGAAGAAGGGAGTAGGCAAGGAATTGAGACACAGGAAGGAAGTGGGGCCACAAAAGTCTCCTGTTGACACTGCTGTGGCAGTGTGGCTGCTCCAAGACCTTCCCTATCTCTCCTTAGCCTTGAGGCAGTGAACTCAGCTTGATTCCCAATGTGGTCGCCCTGGGGACCTGTAGGCCAGTGTCAACAGCTATAGGTGGCCCCACACACGAACAGCCTGAGGCTGGCATGAGGCCACTGCACCCCATCCCGATGGTCCTGCAGATACCCCCTCACCTGGCTGGTGATGTCTGAAGGCATGGGCGAGGGAGGCTTGGAGTAGGTGGCATCCTGGGAGATGAAGCCAGAGTCGTGGGACGAGATGCTGGAGAGGCGGGTGGTGGCGGTGGCCGGCTGTGCCAGGCTACGGTAGCGACAGGTGGAACTGGGTGAGTATGTTTGGGCACCCCCAGGCCACGGGGCTCCGCCACCCTTGGCACTGCCACTGCTGCTGGGGGCACTGGGGGAGTGAATGGGGACAGCAGCCAGACAGGGAGACACAGGGGTGTGTGTGGAAGGGAAGGTGACAGACGAGGGTGGGGGAGACAGGTGAGGGGCAAAGGAAGGAAAAGACAATGTTAGACTACAAGGTCCTGAGAACCAGGTGCCACAGAGGAGCTGGGTTCTTGGACCGGGGGACAGGGTTGAGCCTGGGCAGGGGACAGCCCTGCCCCTGGAGCACGCCAGTGCCCTGGGAGCTGCTGTCAGGGCACTCCAGGGCAAGGCAGTCTTGCTGCCTCCCATTCTACCATTAGAATAGTAGACCTTAGGTTAACGATAAGGAAACTGAGTCACCAGGTGTCAGTTTCTGGTTACGCTAGAACCAGACACAAGTCTGATTATTTCTAGACTGTCTTCTGAAAGTCTGACGTCAGCCATCAAATCCTAATTGAATGTCTAGTGTGTGGTGATGGTCTGCGTGGGTCCTGGACCCACCACTGCCTCATCCCCTCCACCCCCTTGAGGGTATCCAGCCCTGTAGCTCACATTCTCTGTGCCACCATTTCACTCTTGGGTGATGAAGGCTGCCTGAGTGTGACCCTGAAGTCCCCCAGCCCCATCCTGGTCATGGGTGTCCCCTGCAATCACCACTCCCTCCTGTCAAACTACCACCTGGGGTCCAGGAGACTGGGCCCTCCTCTCCTTGCAGGAGTAGCTGTTGTGCCCGGCTTACCTCCATGCTCTGGGTATCCAGCCAGAGGTGGTGCTGGGAAGGGGTGCCAGGCACAGAGGGGACTCCCCTACGAGTAACTTGCTCTGTGTTCACTGCCTTCCCACCCAAAGAGCCTTGATCCTTAAGTATCTTCTCCAAATCCTGCCCTGGTGCCAGCTCAGGAAGTACCCCTGGCCCTGAGGCTGCCTGGTTGGGCCTGTGGCAGCTGCGCAGGCACCAGCTCTCAGGGACCAGCCAGCTGAAGTGTCTGTAAGCATGTGGCTTCAGCACATGCTCCCAGAAGCTTTCACGCCTCTCCCTAATCTTAGGTTCTTACGATTCCCCTAGACTGTGCTGGGCCTGGCAGAACCCAATGGCTAAATGCTGGGATTGTGTGTCTTGGATCTCAGTTCCCTCTTCTAAGAAACGGAGACAACCCTGTACCCAATACAGTGGTGTTAAGACTCAGTGAAGAAAATGCATGAAGTTGCCAGGCTGGCTGTGGCTCAGCGGACGAGCGTCAACCCAGGATCCAGGTGATTGGGGTTCGATTCCCAGTCAGGGCACATGCCCGGGTTGCGGGCTCGGGGGCCTGCAGGAGGCAGCCGATCAATGACTCTCTCATCATTGATATTTCTATCTGTCTATCCCTCTCCTTTCCTCTCTGTGAAATCAATAGATATATTTAAAAAAAAAAATGCATGAGGCACTGAGCATGGCACCTGGCACATGGTTGTTGCTCCATAAACAAAGTTGCTCCTGCACAAATCCCTCCTGCTAATATATGCCAGCCTAGCAGCAGTCTTGTGCTGAGGGTGGATTTTTCCCCTATGCTTGCAAATTCCTCGATGATGCAGAAACTGCGTGAATTGTGGGGCCCTGAAGCAACTCTTGATGCAGTTTTTGTGGGAGCTTCCCCACAAAAACTCAGGATATCCCTGTGCCTCCCCCTCCAGTCCTCCACTGACCTGCACATACTGGACTTCCGGGAGCTGGAGCTGCTGGGTGACGAGGGTGGGGTCTGGTAGGACCAGCTGTAGTCTGAGCCCTTCAGGTCTTTGATCACCTGGACAAGGATATGAATGGAGGTCACTGGAGGCAGCTCTGCCCTGCAGAGCCTATCTTTTCCTGGGGTCCCCCAGAGGGCTGGCAGGCCCAGGGCCCTCCCACTCTCTTCCCAATTGAGAACCAGGCCCCAGCAGCAGACCCCCAGGAGTTTGTAGGCCTCCCCTCACCTCCCAGCCTTTTCCTATTAAAAGTTCATTACTTAGGGGCAGGGAGCAGGGCTGCCAGAGGGCTCCGGGAGATGCCTGGGGAGATTCCGCCTGCTTCTCAGGGGCCACTCTCTCAGTTCACACACGGAGTCAATTCTGAGCCCAGCCCAGGCTAGGCTGGGGAAATGGGAGAAGCAGGTGCTCGTGACCATGAAGGACACCATGGGGTTCAACTCCTGGCTCTGCTGTGCCCCTTGGGTAAGTTCTAGGCCTCTCTGAGCCTCTGTTTTTCCCTGTGAAATGCAGCCAATCATTCCTGCCTTAGAGGGCCACTGGGGTGATTCAATGAGGTGACCTGTGGAAAATGCTCAGCAGAGTGCTGGGCACACATACGTGCCTAGTAAGAGCCATAAGGCTGTCCCGGGTGATTGACCCTGATACAGGGGGAGCGTGGTAGTGGGGTGAGGTGGGCAGGCTCAGGGCCAAGACCCATGAATCTGGGACTCTGTCCATCTGCTCTCAGTCTGAGGCCCCTGTTGGGATTTGGGACACATCACCCTTCACTGGGCAGGTGCCCCTGGATGCCCCACAGTGGGTCAGGATATGTCTAGTCCTTTGTCCTCAGCAGCTGTCTCCCCCAAATGCTGTCCCCTTTTCTCCTCTACTGTCCCCAACCAAGGGGCAGGCCATCCCCTCCTGTCCATCCCCAGGGCTGGCATTACCTGCTCGCTGGCGGGAGGCAGCTTGTGGGGCTCCGCAGTGAGCACCACCAGGTCGTCGATGATGCCCTGCAGGTGGGTGATCTCTCCCAGCATGGTCAGCTCACCGTTCTGAGGAAGCAAGTCAGAGCTGCGGGCCCTGCCCCTGCCTGCCCACCCCGGAGGAACAGGCCTCACTTGGCCTCTCCTCTCACCCCTTCCCCATAGCCAGTGCTGCTGGGGCTGCTGCAGGCTGGGCCTGCACAACTAGGGGCTGGCATGACCGTCTGTCCAGACTACATCAGTGGAGCTGAGACAGGCCTTTGGGTGGGAGCAGTCAGCACTGAATGCACCCAGCTGGGGATCACTGAGAGTGGCCTTTCTCCAAGGTCAAGGGGTCAACCCTGGGCCTGGCCCAGCCTGCTGGGACCAAGTCACTAAAAAGAACTCATGCCCAGCAGTTCCCAAATTCTGACTCTTGAGATGTGGTCATGGTAGCACCGCGAAGGGATGCTCAACTAGTCCAAATGGGGATGCTTTGAATGCCACTCTGTCCCCAAGGGACCCACCACCACAGGCTGCAGGAAGGTGATGAAGGTGCAGAAGCGGCTGCGCTCCTCGATCAGCGCCCGGCGCACCGCCTGCTTCTCCGTCTCCTCCAGCAGCAGATACATGTCGTTGACATCCTGCAGGGCGCTGTCCAGCTGGGGCTGCAGGTCTCCTTTCCCTGGAGGGGTTGGGAGGAGAGGCCGCGCTGGGGACCCTGGACCGGCTCGCTGCAATCGTGGGTCAGGCCCTGTGGTGGTGTTCCTGGCTGTGGGGCTGGGCACTGCCATGGGGGCCAGGGCACTGGGCAGGGCAGTCAGGACTCCAGGGCTTGTAGAGGGGCTGGTCCCCAGAGCAGGCAAAGAGGACAGACACATACACAGGAAAGACACCAAAGCTACAAAACCACCCAGGATCTGGGGTGGGCAGAGTCCTAGGCTTGGAACAGCTGTGCTTAGGGGAGCCCAGAGAAGACCTCCGCACCCCAGGACACTCTCACTGCCCCTGGGATGGCACCCTGTCGCCTCCTAGAATACAGGGAGGTGGGGTGGAAACAGGGCAAAGTAGAGCATGGGGCTCAGTGTCCGGGCCCTGGTCAGGAGAGCTGGGGCTGGACCCTGGGAGCAGGGGTGGCGTTGTCTCCATGTGGGTCCCCATTCAGCTCAGGCAGCAATGCACAAGGACAGCAACAGCAACACCAAGAAGCAGCGAGAGACAGAGAGAGGTGAGAAGAGGGTGTAGAGGAGCGAGTGGTGGGACAGGAAGTGGGGGGGTAACACACAGGAGCTCTGGGTGGCAGGGGCAGGGCAGCCAAGGCCTGTGCCCCCAACCCAGGCTGGTTCAACCCCTCTTGACCTGGCAGACTGACCCCACAGTGGCCCCGGGCTCATCCCTGGCCAGAGGCCACGGGGCCCCCAGGCCTGGGGAACTGTGCCCCAGGCCCCTCCCTCACTAGGCTGACCGCCTCTCTTGCTCCTTCTTGGCTTGGAGAAGCTCCTTCCAATGGCCCTGAGCTGGGGGAGACAGACAAACGCGACAAGGACGGGAGGAGCAGCTGCAGAGACGGACATTTGACTTACCAAGTAGCTCTACAGGAAGGATGTGGAAGGAAAAGAGGAGAGACAGAGAAAGAATGTGTGAAAGACAGCCGGATGGACAGAGCCACTCCTGGGGTGGGGATGGGGCACCTGAGCCTGTGGAGCCTCCTGCCACCTCCTGTGAGGGGAGGTCTGGGGCCAGGTCTGGGGTATAGGGAGGCTCCTTCTGTCCCACCCAACAGGTTGGAGGGTCCTGTGCCCAGGATAGAGCCCCTCTGGCCAGGATGATGCCCTAGAGTGTCCCAGAGGGCGGTGGGGTGGATGGAGTGGGGCCCCGTGGGGCTGTGCCTGGAAGGGCAGCTCTGGGCTCTACCTTTGCGCGCTTTCTTCTGCAGCTTCAGCGTGTCTGAGGACTTCTTCTTGATCTCGTGCCGGGCTCGTTTGTACTCTGTGCAGGTGATGAGAGAGGAGAGCTATGCCAGGGTCTCCGGGGTGCTGGAGTGGGAACCCAGGCCAAGCCCTAGCCTCACCTTTCGCATGGTCCTTGTCCAACTGGTTGACTGACTTCTTCCAGTCCTCGATGCGCTCCTGCAGCGGGTTAATGAGGCTCTCCAGCAGGGCGCTGTGGACATGGGTATGCAGGTGAGGGCCAGGAAGGGTGCCTCCCTGCGACAACCCTGCCCGCCCGCGGTGCCCACTCACTTGGTGAACTGCCGCAGCTTGGTCTCGATGCTGCGGTGGCGCATGCACATGCGCGTGAGTGCTGAGCCGATGTCCCTTGTGGCCCCTGGCAAGGCAAGTGCTTGGCATGGGAAGGGGCCCCCCCGCTGGGGCCTCTGCACTCCCGGCCTCGGCCAGTAGGGGGCGTGCTGGCCTGCAAAGGCCGGCCCCAGCCGGTGCTCGGTCCGGCATCCCGCAATCCTGCCAGCCCCAAAAGGGAATTTGGTCATTCCCCAACAGTTATAGAGCCCTCCACTGTGCAGGACCACGCTGGCCGTGCCAGCCTCCTGCAGTTGCGGGTGCTTTGGTGGTCAGATCAGGAGCCCTTCACTCAGCGGGGAGAGGCCAGAACCAAAGACCGGCCAAAGAGCCAGCCCAAATCCCTTCCCCGCTACCAGGAACCCCCTCCAGGTATGCCCAGAGGCAGGCGTGATAGTGCTAGCACGCACCCATGGCCTTGGTTCTCATCACCTGAAGGAACAGAGGCCCGAGGTCCCTGCTACTCAGACCAGAGAGCAAAGGGGATGCCAGGGCCAATAGGGAAGGCTCACCTGCCCCTGGGTGCTCTCAGAAGGGCAGATGAAGTGGGTGAGAAGCATACTCAGACTCACTGTACAGAAGGGTGAACAACTGTGGCTGAGGGGTTAAAAGAGCACCCCATAGCAAGAATGTAAACCCCCTATAAGATCCCTGTCACTGTTCACCCACTCCTGCTTGCATGCCTCTAGTGACAAGAGGCTCACTCTCAAGAGGCCCAGTCCATTAGTGAGCCAATTTCAAGATTCCAACTCTGAGCCCAGTGTCCTCTCCCTGGCTCATACTTCCCGCCTCCAAGCCTAACCTGGGGCCTCCCCAGCCTCCAGCCGTTCCCCCTCCCCACCTCGGGTGTTGGTGGCCATATCGGCCACTTTCTGGAAGGCGTCCAAGAAGGCCACAGCAGCCAGCACAGTGGTCCTGGGGAGATGGACAGTGGGATGGTCTGTGGTGAGGTGTCCTCACCTCCCTCGTCCCCTGCCCAGTTGGGGCACCCTCAGCAGCCTCACCTCAGCTGGGAATGCAGCTTCGTGGCCTTGGAGTTGAAGTCCTCCCAGATGGGGTAGGAGCTCTGCCGAGGAGATGGGAGAGGAAGTGAGACTCCAAGGGGCTGCAGGGCTCCACTGGGCTGGGCTCCCCACATGCCTCTGTTAAGACTGGGCAGTTTCTGAGAGTGGCCCTGTTCCCAGGGTGAGGGAGGCTCCAGGGCCCTCTGGGGGGGACAGAGGCCCAAGGACAGATCCAAGGAGGAAATCCTGGCCCTGGGAACAGATGCCTTTGCTCATCTCTCCTCCCTGATATTCAGGAAGTTCGGCCTCCTGTCTATAGTCACATCCTCCCTCAAGGGAGATGAAAACAGTAAGTGGCAGGTCCTGTGTCCTGGGGGCTTCCCAGGGCTCTGGCAGGGGGTTTGGGCTGAGTCACATGAGGGACATCATGTTCCCCCAGACACGGCCCAAGATGCCCCACACGGCATGGGGGCAGAGGCACTCCAGGTCTAAACTGGGGCCTCCGAGGGCCCCCACTCTGTGCCCTGGAAGCTGCTGTCAGGCCATCCATCCATCCATCCATCCATGGCCAGCAGCAGTGGCTCCCAGGCCTGGGGAGGGTGTGACTGCTGCAGGGCCTGGACAGTCTGCCCGGGACAGCCAGGCCCTGGGCTGAATGGGGCCTTGTGCAGCCAACAGAGCCACCTTTCTCCACCCCTGGCTCCCCTCCCCTCCTGGGGACACAGTGTTGCCTTTATCCCAGCCTGGCCCAAAGCTCTGAGTTGGGAGGGGGTTTCCCAGTAGGGAGGCCGGGCTCCTGGCGACTGAGTTGTCCAGTCTAATCAAGGGGCTTTTCCGGCTAATGTGCCTTCCCATGGCTGCTGGGTCTGGAGAAACCTCAGCCTTGGCCCAAGGGCCCTGTGGAGGCCTCAACCCTTAAAGGGGAGCCCTGGGCCAGCAAAGCCCCAGACCCAAGAGGTTTCCAATCTTCCCTTCCATGTGGGATGGGGTGCTGGGCTAAACCCAAGGAAAAAAGAAAGGGGGAGACTCCTGCCCCCCATGTCTCAGAGGGAGGCCCACTGGGCTAGAACCTCAGGGGCAGCTTTGAGATGGCCTCTTCAGCTGAGGACAGCCTGCAGGGGTGGAAAGGAGACAGGGCAGCTTCTGGGAGCTCCAAAAACTCCCTTCCCTCCCAGACCAGCCCAACCAGTGCCCAGGGAAAGCAAATATTTGAGAAGTTCACACAGGCTGGAACTGGAGGGGGAGGCTGTGGGTGGGCTGTCTCCATGTGGGCACAGCTCAGGGGAAAGGGGCCAGGGAGGTCATCCCTGGCAGGCCCGAGGAGCTGACCTTCACCTTGGCGCCCCCAGGGGTCTTCTGAAAGGTGGCACCCTCCTACCACCTCAACCCCTCCAGCCCCAAACGAGACCTCCAAGGAGGAAAGATGACACAACACAGAGGTCCTGGTCCATAGGAAACCTTCTCAGGCCCCGCAGCAGCCTCTGGGCAGTTTGAGAGAGCAAGGGACTAAGGGAAATTGGGCAGAGAAAAGTCCATGCTCCCTACAGGGCTGAGGCCCACCTTGACAGCTTGGCCCAGCCAGACTTACTCCATCTCACATCGTCACAGACTTGCTCTTGTGTGCAGAGGGGACAGGATGGGGCGTGGGGAGGCCAGGCCCAGTTCCTCCTCAGCAGATGGACCGACGACTCCACCCCTACTGGTAATTCATGAAGGACCCCAAAGATGAGGATCTGAGGGGCTGGAGCAGTCAGTGTCCCAGGAGAGTGTCCTCAGTCTTCCCCTGGGCCCGCACCTTGGCTCTCAGGCTCTAAGACCCTGGCTTGTTCTCACTAGTGACAGTGACTGCTACTGGTGATCAAGAGCTTGCGGTGTGCTGAGCCCTGTCACTGTGTGATCACATCGAATCCTTCCAACAGCCCTGTGAAATGAATACTTATCACCCCCATTCTGGAGATGAGGAGGCTTGGAGAGATTAAGGTTAGACTTGCCCGAGGCTGCCGAGTGGCAGAGGCAGGATCTGATCCTGTCTGAAGGGTCACCGCAGTCAGGGCACAGGCTGCTGGGCGATGAGTATCTGGGCATCAGGGTGGGGAGATGGCAGGGACTATAGGGATGGGACAAACACCCAGCTCTGCCCCCAGCACAGTGGGCTTGGGCTACTCTGCAGGGGGGAGGGGACGTGCTTGCCACCAGAGGTGTCCAAGTAGAAGGGGGTAAGACCAATGAGGAAGCTCCTGAGGCCCCTGGCCCTCAGACACTCTGGGTGGTGGTCATGGTTCTAACTGGCTGTACAGGTGACTGACCTGGGCTATAATCACAGAGAGGGCTTCCCAGGTGACCCCTCTCTGAGCATCAGTCTCACCTGTAAGATCAGGAGGGGAACTATACCTCCTTCACGGGGTCAGTGTAGACTTGAGGCACTGCCTGGAAAGCACTTAGCACTGTGCCAGCACCTAGGAAGGGTTCAGTTAATGCTGGCTGGCTAATAGGAACAAGGGATCCCTGCCTCCCTGTCAGGAGCCCAGCAAGGGTCTCTGTGTCTGGGTGACACTCACTGCTCTTGAGAGGGTAGGCAAAATTTATGACCATGTTTTCTGGATGGGTAGGTGCTGGGTGGAGGACCCATTCACTCTGCTGAAGGTGCTGCCTGGGCAGGTGGGGACTGAGGCAGAGCCCAGGTGCTGAGCCAAGTCCTGTCATTTTGGGCAAGTCCCCCCCCTCCCCCGGGCTTCAGTGGGCAGCCTGGCACCCAGTGGGCATCTGAGCTGAGTTCAGTGAGGCACAGCAAACAGGGAAAGCTCCCTCCCCATCCCTGAATGGGTACCTTCCTCCACTATTCAGGCTTCAGGTATAGTTCAGCCCTTCCCTCCAACTCTCAAGCCAGGGTCTGGGCCTTCAGAAGGGCCAGGGTGGGCTGCTGTGGGGCCTGTGGACACACTGTGGAGAAGCCTCATGGGGCAAGCTCTATCTCTTGACATGGCCACCCTCTGTGGAAGAGCCAGAAACTGTCCCCTAAAGCCAGGTGATGGGCCTCCAGGTGGCCCAGTCCCCTGCTCTGTCCCTGGCCAGAACATATGCATGTGTCACAGGTAGAGGAATATCTGTACTTGGCACCATCCCAGGTGAAACCTCTCCCATTTTGCCTCCACATGTCAGAAAATCCTGCCTGAATCTCTTGCTATAATCTGGGCTGTTTGCTTCTATCATCCCAAAGTTCCTTGCAAATACACTGGAGAGGGAGGGAGGCAGTCCTACCCCTCTTCTCTGAGAAAGGCTGCTGCTCTCTGCAGTGTTTTTGGAGAGGCTGCCAGGAGGAGGAGGGTGCTGGCTCTGGGAGTGGCTGGGGGAGGGTGGTCTGGGCTGCCCGGGCTGTGATGTCCACAGGGCAGGAGGAGCTGCTGAGGCCAGAGAGAGGCCAGCACTTCTCTGGGCTAGCAGAAGGGCCCAGAGGCAGATTTGCAAGGGATGAAGGTCTTAGGGGAAGCATCCCATATCAGAGTGGGGGGCACCTACATACTGCTTACCTGTAGTCCCAGGCCAGGGGGCTTCAGGCCTGTTCTGGTATCTGGCAGCTGCCCCTGGGGCTGCTCCCTGGCAGCACCAGGATCCCCTGGCATGCCTGTAATCTGCGACCCCCTGAAGGGCCTGCCTGAGTACTGTGGGGCAGGTTGCACCTTGGTGAATGGTGTTTCCTCCTGGGCCTATGATGTCACTGTGGGATTGTGTGTGCACTTGGAAGTGTGACAAGCTGGAAAGGTGGGTACCCTCGGAGTTCCCGTGAGGAACCCAGTTCTCTTCCTTTCTCTTTCCTCACCCCAAAAGAGGAGGGTAGGAATGCAGGTTCCTGACCCCATCCTGTCACTGGAGCTGGACTTCCTCTTTGCCTCAACCTGAGCCAGCCCTGCCAAACCCTGGCATCTTTGGGGAAGGAAGCCCCTGGTCTCCTAGATCAACAAAGAGGGGTGAGGTCAGGGACTGTCTAACAGTCTCCTAAATGACCTTGAGCCAATCCCAGGCCTCAGTTTCCCCACCTGGTGAGTCAGTGGTGGGCCAGGAATGGGTGCTCCAGATTGACCTTGGGCAGTCACGGGGAGGGGCTGAAGCTGAGGCCTGGGGTGGAAGTAGGGTAGGGAAGGCCCTCCCTTGGGGTTGCTCTACCAAGCCCAACCTTCTCCGCTCCTCCTCTCAAGGTAAGGACGGAGGCCTTGGGATGCAAGGACACTCAGCCCGGAGACCCGGACTCCTAGAGCTTCTTGGGGCTTGTTGTGAGGGGCCGGTCGGGGGTGGCAGTCACAGGGTTCAGCGCAGTGGCCAAGGCCGGTGGGGAAGGAGTTAACGGTTCTCTGCTTAATTATTTTCCCCTGCTTTGGTGGTGACAGCATCGTCTGGGCTCCAAGGCCAGCCTTAGGAGTATAAGGGGGCCGTGGCGGTGGTAGGGGGCGGACCCCGGACCTGGTAAAGGTCCACAGCGTCGCCCCAGGAGCCAAACACCATTCATGGTGTAAAGGTCTAGGGCGCAGGGAGCCCGGGTGTGCACAGGCTCCGCTCGCTAACCCACGGGGGCGCTGCGATCCGAGCGACCTCGAGCATCGGCCCCGGGGGCCACACGGACACCCCGACACACGAGCACCCACACCCCCAGACAGGCGCCGGGGGACCCTGGCGCGCAGCAGACGCAGTTCGGCCACGCTCACACAAGGACAAACAGACCCTGCGGCGCACAGACCCAGCGGGGCACGGCTGCCCGCCCCACGCGCCCCCAAGGGAACCCGCACTCGCGCACCCCGTTACCTTCATGTCGTTGACAATGGCCTGGAAGAGCCCGCCCAGGGCGCCGCACTCCTTCTCCGCCGTCTCCATGCTCGG